CAAACTTTTCTGCTGCAGATCAATAAGTCGTTTCAGACTAGTAAACATGTTTAAGGGACTTCAGCAGCATTTTATTGACTTATTGATGAACCTTACTGTATTAAATATGCCCAGACATTAAAATAATAATCATGCGCCTGCTTTCAGATAACAACAATACAGTGTTTTGTCTGTGGAGTGTAGTAAAGGAAACATAAACTGTCAGCTGTAAGCTGCCATCTGTCTTCAACAACAATTCAAAGCGCTTATTAAACAAGACACTTTCAGAATGAATAAACCAAGTGTAAAATACAAATGAGAATGCACAAGAAATATTAAAGTATTAAAAGTTTACACTCTCCATAAAAACATGTCAGAAAAGCAGGTTTTAAACTATGTGTACCTCAGTTTTGCTTTGGCTTATTCATTAGAAGCTCAACATCGGGTTCACACAGGTCAGACAGTGAAACATACTGTTATTATTCCAGTCGTAACACCATCTTTGTTTAAACCCACTAAGTAGTATTTATGTGACCTTTTAAGATATTGTTAAATTTTTAAACACAGTCTCATAGCAGCCTCTGTGATGATGTATTCATTGGCTTTGGAGCCCTGGACACCGCATTCATATTCATGCAGCTTGTTTTGATTCTCAAACAATTTGGCTCATGCACATACACACATGCACGCACCTAGCACACACACACACACACAGACACACACACACACACACACACACACACAATCACAACCAGTGGGAGCAACAACTGCCAAATCCAAGAAGCTCCATTGTTGTGGCTCATCTATTTTCTCGGCTCCCGTTCTGTCTTTCCTCTCTCTCAATCCCTCTTTTCTCGGATGAGGTGAGGTTGTCCTTCTCTTTCTGGAAACGTGGCGAGGCCAAAAGACAATTAGCATACGCGCGCATTCACACCGATATGCGTGCACACAAAGAGAGACAATTGGTAAGTGTCACGCTTTTGTTTTGCAAAACCTGCAGTTCAGTCCAAGAAACAGGCTGAATGCAAAATAGAAAGAGAGGTGGAGACAGAATGAGAGAGATAGAAATGAGACGGAGAAAGGGGGACGGGGTTTGCTGGCGCTGAGCTGGACTGAGGTGTTCAGAAATCATTATTTGAAAAGTGTGTTAACTGATGTTGGAGCTGGTATCGCACCACGTTGCACATATTAACCCAACAACCCTAAAAGCATCCCTTTAGTGCAACTTCGCCCCATTTCATTTTTAACTGTTTCATTTTCATGGCAGCAGTTGAAGCGCAATCTGGTACAAAGCCCCAACCTAGCACCACCATCAGCCAAGCCCACACCACTGTGACCAATCTGTAGCCAAACCCCAACCGAGCAGCGCCATGAGCCAAGCCAACTCTATGGTCATCCACTTGTGGCCAAAATCCCTCAAAGTATTCCTGTAATTAGCTGAGCTTTATAACAAATGTGCCTGAAAGGTCTTTACATGTGAAGAAACGTCTTAGATCAAAATAACTAATCACTAAAAAAGAAAGAACCATGCATTTGGCATCCACATGAGAGGGGTGTTTTTCTGTGTCTTTAAAAAGGGCCTGCTTCAGCCACTGCTAGTTACAAGCCAACAGACAACATAAACAAATAAAAGGCGCTAACTGCGCTAACCGCTCTGATACATCTGCTAATCACTTATTATGATGCATAACAGACTTTTCATCTGAGTCTGGGTCTGACTGAGGCTCAACCATGTGGCTGAGTTTCACCAATGTTGTTGTTTGTCCAACTTTTTATGTAAGAAAACCATGTGTTCAGCCAGAAGAGGTCTATAATGTACTGGCTTATGGGCCAATAAAGCTGTAATGAATGGGGCATCATTGTGGGACACAGCATCCAGCTCTTCCCATCTTGTAATTGACATTTTATGTCAATTGAATTAAGTCTTTCTATCTCTGTAAATCAGTATTCTCGTCCATATTTGTCCCTACTTTTGTGGGAGTTGATCGTTTCATCAAGCAGCTGAAATGGCATCAACTATTTGAACCTCTGAACAAATTGAAGATTTGGCTTATGATTCAGGGACCTTGCTGTGATGCTGGGAGCTGCTTTTGCAATTCATTCAGTACCAGACAAACCCATGACTCTGCATGCAGTTTCATATGGTAATGGTTGCTTATCTAAGCTACTTGAACCCATAGATATCCATGAACTGAGCTGTCTTCAGCTTCAAACTGCATTGCAGAGATTTAAGGAATGTATTCATGATGTTAAGTGACTGTGGAGAAGAATGAAAAATAGAAAATCCCTCAAAAACCAAACTCTCCCTTTATTCTCTTCTGCTCATACAGAACTGTCTTGAACAGCAGCTGCAACTCACAAATGAGAACTGAAGAGTGCAAAACTGCTGTGTCTCAGCCAGCCTCTCCTGATTGTGCAAAGCTAACAAGAGTGAAAGCCCGTTTCCCAGCCCTCCACTGATCAATAGCTCATACGCTGTTTGGCAGTGCCAGTTTAGATGCGTATCTGCCCGAGCGAATGGGCACTATCTCCACCAGCACACTTTAATCAGGCTGAGTTATTGGGATCTGTCGCTCGGAGTGAACTGAGGGGAATGAATGCACACACAAACACACACACACACACACACACACACACATATACTCAATGTGGCCAATCAATCACTTTAATTGATCGAGTGAATAACAGGAAGATTTGGCGCTCAGAAGTCTCTAGGTGCAGATGCAGCAGTGTTGCGTCTGTGTGTTGGTGCGCGATAGTGGCCACCAAATTGAACTGGCAGCGGTCCACACACTGTACGCGTGTGTGTGTATTTAATGCTCTAACAACATAAAGTTTATGACTGATGGAAGCCTGTTTTCTCAGTCAGGGTCACTGCTTTTCCTCTGGCCACCTGTAATCATCCTGCAAACTTCTAAAAATGACGATACATGTTAGAGACGTGGTCGGTGATCCAGATGGTCACTGGGCTGATTAAAGTCTTTCATCGGCCTCTGACATCAAGGTGTCCTTGGAATGAGATACTTCAGGGGGAAAAAAAACACCTATAAACCCTTCAGATCTGACAGAAAACACCCACCTGGCCACACAACTGGCATCTCTAGCAGAACTACAGTTGGATTTTTTGCAAAAGTTGTTTATTCAAATCATCACAATTTAAGAGCAATAGGAACTTCCAAGAGCCTGTGTTTTGAACGTGCAGTTCAACAGTTGTGAAGAGGGAAATTCATCATTCAGAGGCAGATCTGTGTCTGAGAACCAGCAGCAGCCTCAAGGGAACGTCAAGCAGGGAATCACTACTGGCGTACAAGAAGAGAGGACAGGGTGCGGGGAAACCCAGGCGGCTAAACGCAGAAAACTATAGTTTGGGTGTCAACATGTGGATGCCTGAAAATAAATTAAAGGGGCTATTTGTACTTTTTTTTTTCTATTTGTAAGTTTTTTTTAAGCAAAACTTATAAATAGCTGCAATAAAGGCCAACTTGGTGTTTAGCATGTCTCTGGATAAAGTTTTCAAAATTATGGCCTGCCATTGGTCAAAAGAGAAACTTTGAGTCCGAACCCACTCAGTCCCAGTTCCATCTGAGGACACAAAATCAATTTCCACTCCCCTACTCAGCTCTTGCAGGCCGTCATTCAGCCACAGCAGCTCCCTGAAGAATGAAGATCTGAATCAGAGCTGTCATCTAGTCAACTTATTGATCTGGACAAATCTCTGTAAACCAGGAGCAGGCCAACTGCAGCTGCACCCGTGATCATCATCTGAGGATTTCGGGGGAATAGCCTCAGACGAATACTAATACTTTCTGTGATGAAGTTTGGCTACAGACTGGGCACTGAAACTTAGTAGCAATGCTAAGATTCTTTCAAATAAAATGAAAATACATACTATATACTATGCAGGTAAACCTGACATGTAATTGTTGAATACATATATTTTCCTTTTAGCAAATCTGGTTATCTTCATACCTTATCTTCCCACTTTTATTCATGCATCTCTGACATCAACTGTCAAACCAAAATGAAAAAGGAAACTAGAGAGGAATGTCGCTTTAACTCCTTTGAAGAACCACAGGTGGCCTGTAAATTCACTTATGGCCTAGTCGGACCAAAAGGATCGCCTTTAGCGATCACATTCAACCTTGTGATACGTGAAATTGACTGTTTTATTGCAACTGAAGCTGATAGGAGCCTGAACAGAGGTATTAAATATTTAGCTGCTAACCAAAAGCTCACAGAACATGGAGAGTTCATTTGTAGCGTTAGTAATGTATTTCAACAAGGCAACTCAATATTGTACTTGACATGAGATTAAAAAAAAAAAAAAAAAAAAAAGGGATATTATGATGAATTGGCAAAAAACAAGAAACTTAAAAAAATTCACTATGGGAATAATGCATTTGCACTATGTGCACTGTCCAATTCAGGCCTGAAAAACACAGGTGACCTACACTCAGTAATGTACCTGAACACATCCTAAACATTGACAGAAGCATGAAGCTACTGCTGCTTTCTCTTTTCTAAATTTTGACTTGGTGCACTTAGATTATATTACATAAGAAATCTAGTAAGTCGTCCTTGTGTTAAGGGTTTTATGTACAATTAGGATGACAGTAGGTCATAGAATCAAACTGGAGTGATTGGTGGTCCTACAGGGATTCAGTAAGCCTGGACTTAAGAGTCCTTCAGTAATTCTCCAGTCTAATGAGACCATCAAGACAAAAACTGACTGATCAAAACGCCAAACTTTACAAATGTGGCTTCTGGAGGCACCAGGCAGCCCCTGCAGAAAAGTATCTGAACATGTGAAACCTCAGCGTGATACAGTGAGGAACACGGCGCACTACCGACCTCTAGTGGCCGTACAGCATAATCACATGTTCTATACAAACCAGGTTTCAATGAAGTTAAATTTTTCTCATAACCAGCTAAGCACAGTCATCTGACAATTACACATTTAACCATAAAATGATGAACAACCATTTTATCAAATGACATTAAAAAACAAACAAACACGTCTTTATTTTAAGAGTATGAATGGCAGCCATTTAAAAAAATAGCACAGCATCATCCGGTTATATTTTATACAAATAATTAGCATAGTGATATAAACATGATAAACTGTACAACTTATGAAAATACACACATGCATACCAGCTAACTTCAACAATATATGAAAACCTGTGTGGGCCAGTGCGTAATTCATCAGTAAAAGTAAGCGTTTACCAACTTCTGCATCTACCATTAGCTTAAAACATACACTCTTAAAATTCTGCACTACAGGCTATATACGCAGAGGGGGGCTTACACATTACTAATGAATTCTGATTTTTCTTCTTCCTATAAAAAGTTATAAAATGAATGCCAAAAAACTGTGTACTCAAATGTAACAAAAAAAATGTCATTATTAACAACCTGGTACAAACATAATACACTGGCAAACTTCTTAAGAACAAATGCCCACATTAAAACTCTTCCATCCAAAAACAGGATTTAAACATTTATTCAAAATAATATATAAAAGACAGACTAGACTACGTGTATAAATATTAAACATATTAACAAACTATATACAGTTTTTGTCAGAGGGAATTTTTTTTTAAATATTTTCACTGAATTTAGACTGGCAAGATTTAATTTTTTTTGGGGGGGGGGTTCATTGAAGTAAGGCTTTCTCCAAAATATCCATGTTGACCAATGGCAGTGATGCAACTTCAAAAAACACCCTGAAAAAAGGTATTTAAAGAATCTATTAATAATCAGAACAATTGATTACTTCATTATAAATGAGCTGCTCTTTTAATACTAGACTTACTTGTGGGAATATTTGTTCCTGATGGCTCTCAGTTTATCGTCAGGAGGAGCTACGAGCATCAAGTAGAGCCTCCTGATGACCGGCTCCAAATCTGACGTCTGGTATCCGGAGTGGAACTGCAGGATGGGAGTCTGACGGAGCAAAGAAACAAGAGGGACGTTTAAACTGGTGCTTATTCAGAAATTTAGCCATGTTTAAAAAAAAAATAAAAAATACAATAAAAAATACAATAAAATACAAAACAAATTGTATTCTCTGTTCACAAATCAGTCTCTGCGGTGTTGCATACACATATCTATTTTAAATTGCAAAAACATAGTAGAGCCTATTCTGGAGCCAGGCTAGAACAAAATAAAATTACCCACCATCCCAAAACTGCTGCTGCAATGATTACTGAAATTTACATGGAAAGACAATTTACATTTAAATTGAAAGGAGGAGGGTTCATCATGACAGAGCTGCTGTCTGGCTCTCTATCCTGATGAGTCAATGTCACACAGTCCGCCGCAACATAAACTGGAACAAAGTCCACATCAGGTAGTGGGCAGCATTGGTGCCAGAACTTAGCTAAACTAGTTTTTGGTTGCAGAGCAAAGAAGTGGCTTTTTCATGACGATGGAGTCACAGGAACAGGCCATGGAGTAAAAGTTCCTTTAGTGCCTGAGGGTTCGTGTTTCTACCCCGATGAAAGTGCAAACATTATACAAACAGTTTAAGGAACCATCTGGTTTGAAATCAGCCATTATTTTACACACACACACAAAAAAAACCATGAGTGTTGTGCAGCTGTGCTGAATCATTGTTGGAGGGAAATGCCAAGAGAGAGACACCTGGCTAATATCAAGACCGCTCCTCTGTTTTGAACTCAACTACAATAAGGCGAGTCAATACTGATGTTTCTTACTCTCTGTAACAGCCTCGCACAGAAATACTAATTTTGATATGAAAAACCAATAGTACAAAGTCAAAACCCTTTACAGTAACTGAAGTGATGCTACCTCTGGTTAAATGGAGCTAAAGAGGCTACAATCAGTATTGGTAAGAGTAAAACTGAACTGATAAACTGACAAAAAAAATGTTAAGTTGTCGTGTTCAGGTAACCTACCCATCCTCCCAGGTCTTTGGTGACCAGCGCCATCAGCAGGCAGGCTGAGGCCAGCAGAGAGCCTCTCTCTGGAACCAGGTCCATCTCCATGAGACTCATCTCGCAGTAGTACCGAGCCAGGGTCAGTGTGTCCATGCCGGCGTTCACACACTGCGGCAGACGGCAAAGAAAACAGAGATTGTGAAGAACACCATACAAATAAAGAGGCTCTAACGCAGCTATAGAAGAGGTACAGTTTGGATTTTGAAAGGAGGATCGGAGCTGAAGAGACACAGATTTGTAAAGTGTCACAGAGACAACTGTCCACTTTACACTCGGGCAATGAAAATCAACACACACACACCTTGGCATAGCGTCTGAGGAAGCGATAGGGGATGGGAATGTTGACGTCAAAGGACAGCGTCTGCAGGATGCTGGCTTCCATGGAGATAAGCTCCTCCCTCTTGTACGCATCGTCGCAAATGTACAAGAAGTCGTCGACACATGGCGGGCTGCGCTCCTTCGGGATGATAAAAATCAAACGTGTATCAGTGTCAACTGAGCAATTTTAAGGATGTACAAGGTTAGAAATGTAACCATCACTTATTTACTATAAAGTCCTGAGTCTAATTCTCACATGGTCAATGTCTGATCTAACGCTCACCTTCATTTGTCTACCTGTGCCCTTCAAAATAAAACCCTCTGGCCATGCACACATTAATGCACAAAGCCAGAGTCAGAAACGCCTTAATCTAAGAAGAAACTCCCCCTCATCATGGTCAACTGAACAACAGCACGCTCGAAATCCCACTTTTATTATTAAAGATTAAATTTAGCTGTAACTTTACTTTTCATTACGTGTGTCCTCACCTCAAACTTGGAGGCTATGAGCATCGCGGTGGAGCCGACGAGCTGCAGCATCTCCCTGTGGACGGGGGTCTGGGACAGGTAGTGGTCTGTCATCTTCACGGCCAGGTAGAGCGTCTCGTGGTACAGCTCGAAGTTTTCCTAAACAAAACACACAAACAGGTCGTCAGTCAGACGTGCTGGCACAAACACAAAGAGACACAAAGTTCAGGTCTGAAAAAAAAAATCGACATAAACAACTTTAATTTGCTGTTATTTAGTTTCTGGCATCCAACTGAGCAGCAACATGAGTGTCGTCTTGATTTTTGTAATTACCTGCATCAAAGCTTAACTTTATTTAATCCTCCTGGAGCTCTAACTACACCGCCTCCCTCACTCAGCACCACTGAAATATCTTATCAAGACAAAGTCACAACCACACAGGCTGCTGGGAAAACTCACCTGCACTTCCACCAGCCAGTCGATCAGGATCGCCCTCATCTCTGGGTTGAGGCTGGGCTGCTTGGGCATGTAGTTACAGAGGACGAACTTCTCCTGCAGACAATAACAACAGAATGCGTTCAGAACTGAAATGAGCCTTTTCTAGAAAACCACTGTGGAGGAGCTACTTCGCTTTAAAGCGCTTCAGGAGTTTGGTTTGGCTCACCTCTCTCCGTTTCAGGTAGTCAAAGATGTCCTTTGCATACTCCGGACACATGTAACTGTCCTCAGAGTTCTCAGAGTCGATGTCAAATTCCTCTGGGATCTAAAAACAAAACAAAACAAAACAAAACAAAAAAAGAGGAAAAGCAAGGGGTTACAGATTTCTTTTAAAACAATTTGTCCAAGAAGGAGGTTATTATTCTTTTTTGGAAATGTATTCCTCTCCTTTACCTGCTGTCTCTGGAGGTGTGCTGGCACTTCACGGGCAGCAGGGGGCGCAACAGCCACCAGCTCTTCTACTGGAGCGGCTGCATCCTTCTGTGCCTCCTCCTCACAGGGTTTCTCCTCCACTGCATCAGCCCTTTCTGTCTCAGGAGTGGTTCCCTCTGAGCTCACCGAGGACGACCTGCAGGGGAAGAAAAGACATCCATTACTGGGATGTGCTCTGGAGGAAGCTGGGAATAAAGACAAATCAAGAAAAAAAAACAATATACAAGAAGCTGGAGAAAAAGCGGAGTGGTTACTTTTTCAAGTTGGCTTGATTCTTGGCAGACACGGAGCTGGAGCTCGTTTTCTTCGCCGTGGTCTTCGCTGATTCTTTCTTCCTTCCTGGAAGACTGATCTGAACCTTATGAGCCTGAGAACAGAGTCAAGTCCGGTCAAAATTATACAAACACAATACAGACCAACAGCAAATGTAATGAGGCTCTAATCATGGTTGTATATTTATCATGCAATAATCACACAGTTTAAAGTGCAGATTTAATCCTGTTTTTAACAAGCAGTCATTCTGAATGTCATTACTTATTGTAACTGTACTTAATTATTACAATTACTGATAGTGATGGACTCTCTTTAGGGCATTATTGGAAATATAAATATAATAAAAGGTTGGTGTACTATTCCACATGACTGCAGCTCTGCCAAAAAGCTAATAGGGGAAAGAAAGATGTGGAAATTCCAGTAGAAAATAATGGAAAATGTTTGTTTGTGGTCCATTAATTTCTAATTTCTAATAGTTTAATTGAGCTTCCCAATCTTATAAAGCTTTTTAAGCTCATTAGATAAGGGACTGTGAATTTCTCCCAGCGGCCAGAAAAAACAACCCTCATGTCTCTTTAGTCTGATAAAATTTCAAATTTCCACATCACTGAGAAAACACAATGAAATCTTAGAATTTGCCTCTCGAGCGTGATCTAATCAGACTTGTAAATATTTGAAAATCAAAGCCAGGATGTGTTTGGGGAAAGAAACCGACTCAAATTACACAGCAGTGAATCACATCTCTGGCTCTTTGTTGGTTTCACTGCAGGAGTTATTGCAGATTGTGACGAGAGCAACCAAACATGATGTTAGTTTCACACCCAGGTGACATCGCACTCGACACACGTTCACACCACAGTACAGAACTACTGACGAGCCCAGTTACACCTTCACACCAAAACACAGGGATGCAGTGCTTCCATCGCTCAGCCGTAAATGTGCATAGATACACACACACACACATTACAGTTCATGTGTTATTTGTTCAATGTCTGAATCTGTTAATTTCGCAGGTTCAACAAAAGCCAATTCATTTTGAATCTCGTAGCACGTAGCAGCCGGATAGATACAGTGAAATGTTTGGCTTTGACTCGCTTAAACTTAAGAGTGTATGGTGGCCAGTAGTGACACACTTTCAGGAATTACAGTTAACAAACACCATGTCCACTGATGCCGTGGGTGGTGTTCACCAACGCATTCATGCACAAAAGTAATTCCCATATGTAAACAACACTTTACTTCACTTGCCTTAGGGTGAAGTTAGTCCAAGGCTTTCAACTGATATCTTAAATCATCATCCAGATCAGCAAAAGATGTTTTTCCGAGAGAATATGAATATGGGATTACTTAGGTACTCCATGTGTATTACATTCAGACCCTGGTTCACTGCCACAAAAAGTGCTGGATCGGTACCGTATCCCACTTACTGTCCGCAAGCTGCTTTCAGTGTTGGGCCGATAATCTGACAGACCCAGACCGACAGCCTATCATCAAGAGGGACGAGCAGTTAAGACAAAATAACACATGCTGAAGTCAATCAGACTCATTCTGCTTAAAGACAGCAGCTAGTTAGCCGCAATCTTAGTAGCTTCATGAAGACACTGCAGCGTGCTGATGTATCTGAAAGCTGCTCCCCTTTCTATGGGTCTATACAGGTCCACAATAAATCATAATTTCTATTCTATTATAATTTGTATTTCAAAATTTGCTACAAATCAATATTTTTCCTTTTTTTATACCGTGTGTTCATTACCAAGGCAAATTTGCAGTACTGTAGTATGTAAATAGAGACAATCGGATGAAGCTAGATTATCAACTTGTCACAAATGACCATAGGCTCCGTCACACGTGCACTATAATTTTCATAAAAAAACAAAAAGAAATACCAAGACTAAAATCTTGTGCAAGCATTTCCCAATATAGGGTGGATGTGCATTCCTACTGCAGAGGCAAACTGAAACTGACTTTATTAAACTTGCCTCAGTGATCATTTGAGACCAAACATTCCCACTTGGTCAGGAAGTCCAAATATGAAACAATAAAAACTACATACCTACACCTCAAGACAACTACTGCTTAGAGGAACAACTCCTAAATCTTGTTGGTTTCGTTTTGAGTGAATGAAGGAGACTTAGTTCAAGGACTGTCTCCATCCTTGAACCCAACTGCTTCATCTAGTGTGTTTACTTTGCTTTGACCCTGAATTTGAACACTGTTCACTCTCAAAAAAAAAATCACAACAGGGCTTACATTGGTGATGTCGATGAAGGCAGTCCTCTTCTTGGGAGCTCCATGAGGAGGGGAGGAGGACCTTTTCACCTGTGAGCCTTCCTCCTGCAAGACACACAAACAGGAAACACAAACCACACATTACACCCAAACCATGTGCTAAAGCTGTGCACGCATTGCAAAAAAATAAAAATAAAGTTACTTTTACCGTATTGCAAATCTCATGAACTTTAACGTCACCGTGCATTTAACAACTGCTGCAGTGTCTGCTTTGTTTCCAGCCTATTCCCTGCTACGAACTACACAGAGAAAACACATGAATGCGCGTTTCTTTTACCTGGTTTTCCTTTTTCGTTGCATGTAGCTTGGGTATCCTGCTCCCAGCCGTGACTGTGGCTTTCTTTCCCCTCGGTAAAGGCATCCTTTCTTTCCCAAAAACAAAGTCTGCAGCGGCTGCACCGTGATCTGTTCATATCAAAGAAAAACATATAAACGGCGTGGTTTTTAAAAAATATATAAAACAATGCGGCGTTTGTGCTGTTGTGTTCGACGTTTAACGGTTTCAGCTTGTAGATAATAAGAAATAAAATCAGTTAAAGCGAGTAAACACAGTTTCATGCGTCGTTACGTTTGCTGGGTGGAATATCAGCACGTGAACCTGTTGTACGTTGAAAATATCAAGATAAAACTCACTCAAATTAATATTTTATCTTACGTTAGTCTATAATTCTCCTTCGCTGGGTCCAGACGTTTGGTTTAGGGACAACAAACTCCGCATGTAGCTTTTTGACTGTTGTAAATAGTCCAGGTTTGCTGCGTTGTTTCACAGACAGAAGGTCAGACAAAAGTGGTTCAGCTGCGAATCCAAATCTGCAGAGCTTCGCTCTCATTGGCCGGAATTTGATCCGGGCCGACCAATCAGAGAGTCGCTAAGGATGCCGTTGCTAGGGAGCGTTAGTTTCACACAAACGGCTCCGCCTGGTTTGTCGAGGAGGAAAACAATCATTACCAGAGCAAAGGCGTTAAAAATAACTTATATGTAATGTACATGTAAACGATATAATGTTATTATTCAATTTTTTTAATGTCATGTAATTGTCTGTGTGTGTTATTTAGTAAAGCAAAATCCATTCAACGTTTTAAAGTGAGTTTAGAAAATCATCTCCGCCCACCTCGCTCCCTTGAAAATAAATCCAACGATCCCTAGAGGAGGAGTGTGTGAAATTTTGAAACGTCCTCGACACTAATAGCAATTTAAACGTCTGATGTTTTCCTCGCTAGGGAAGTGTCCAAGTCTTAACTGATGACTCAGGATCGAGATACGGAAAATATACATGTGACATAGATTATGTAGACTAGTGCACGTGATCAAACACAAGCACTCTGTCAAGTACCTCATGCATTCATTCAATTTTCTCTCTTCCATCCATGCATTCTGTGTTTTACTATTTATGTTATTTAATTTTATCATGCATGCACATACATAGAATACCATACCATATATTTTTTACTGTGTATAACTGAACATCTTGGTTATGTATCACTAAAACAACTTAAAAGTGTTCAAATTTTGATGTGTTGGAAGGCACACATATAATTTTTCTATTTAATAACATCTAAAATAAGCCATAAAAGAAGTGCAGCAGATGTAAATAATAAGCCAAAGTCCTATAATGTTTAGAAAAATATGAATATGAAGCCTTGAATAGTCTCGAAATACAAAAATAGTTTACATTTTTATCAGTTATTGTAAATACTTTTATTTATATATTTATTTAGCCTATTTTTTGTTATTATTATTTGGGACTGGCGATATTTGTGGGTTTGTCGTCATGTTCTACAACCGCATTCATGACTCTCACAAGAAAAAGTTTCCTCATTCATTTAGTCACAAACAAATGTGAGTCCTGTAAAAAATGTCCTCTGATTAATTAGCACTGGTTGTATAATAATCATTTAGGTTCCCTTAACTGGAGGTTATATTTCTGCACCTAAATGTTTATGTGGTTCTGGTTCACACTGAAATCACTGTTTAAATCTATTCGGATTCATGTTGAGCAATCAGCTCTCTGTCATACTGATAAGTATTTCCTGAAGTTCGGGAAGAGCACAACAAGCCAACTGGGGCTCACAACACTGCGTACAGTTTGGATTGTAGAAAGTCATAAAATTGTGGATCACATTCAAGCACCCAGAGGGCAGGTTCAGAGTGGACATCAGGGGAAGCTGGCAGCTAACATCCATCCAGCCTCCAGGAGTATTGGAGGGTCATCTTTGATTCTTGCCTAAATGACGGGAATTGAAGCTATAAAGTGTATCTGAGTCTTGTTAAGAGAATAAAATAAATCTGGGATGAACTCATTGTAATCGTCTATTGACCTGGGGATGATGCCATATAGATCTACGTCATCTCTGAATACACCTGCCAATCACACCATAAAATCTCTGCACACAATATCATTTAACTAAAAATGAAAAGGTTTAACAAAAACAAAACAAACAAGTCCCTGAGCAATTTCAACCCCTGCAGTTCACGCAGTGCAGTCCGGCGTCTAATGAGGTCTGCAGGGAGATATCATCTCACAACTCTGCTTTTATTTCATCGCCCCTCCCTGTTGTCCTCATCCAACACCAAGACAAAAAGCTTTCAGATGAGAGCATTTTCTTCCAGATTGCTTGTGTCTACATTAGAGCTGGGGGAGGGGATATTGTTTTATAATTCTCAGGATTTACTTGAAGCTGAGAAGAAATATTCATGGGTTGGGTTTGGCCGTGAAATTCAGGGTCGTGGAAGTCATGTTTCACAAAAACAATTATGTGAAACCGATCCTTTTGTTGGACTGTCTTACTATCTACATTTACGCAAGTGATGCAGGCTACTTACATACAAATTTAAGATATTTATACCCTCGTTAAGTACTTTTTGTTCATTCAATTTATACTTCTACACCACTACTTAGTGGGAAATATAGTACTTTTTAATGCACAATTATTTTAACTTTAGAGACTATACTTTACAAATCAAGCAGAGAAATATTTGTCACTATTGTTTTTACTTTTACAAAAACAAAAATGCTGCTTAATGCATGAGCCATCTAATAATCACATGGACCATTTTTATGCATTATACTTTTAATACTTTATTATACTTACTTTTACTTAAATGAATACTTCTTCCACTGCTGAAATTGTGTGGCTGTTGCTGTACACAAAAGTGAAATGAATCATAAAAGTTCCTTCTCCTCCTTTTTCTTCTTCTTATCATCATCTCATCATCAGTTTGGCCTCAGACAGAATCATTTTAAATAAACTCAATTTGGGTTTGAACATACACATTTGTCTTGTTGTCAAGGAGTTAGACTGATGCAGATAACACTGCACACACAGCTACTTTCTCTATCTGTACACACACACACACACACACACACACACACACACACACACACACACACACACACACACACACACAGAAAGAGAGAGGAACTTGTGAACTCATTTGTCAAACCATTTCCGTATAAACTCATTTGCAGTGGAAACACCAAGGAGCAAACCGCCACCCTGTCGCTAACTGGTAAGTTGGTCTACCTGCAGGTAGTAAGGCCGCCTGATGTTTTCTGTATCTTGTTTTCATATTTTTCGTATCACATTTATGTAACTTTTGGCTTTAATCCTGTCCAACTGGCCCTCAAGATTCCTCCCCAGTCTTGCCAGTTATCGCAGTAAATCAGAAGATGCCCTTTTCTTCTCTTGCCTTAACTACTTTTGTAGTTTTAAATCTCTTATCTGGCCAGGCTGACAAAGATTTCTTGCAATACAGAGGACAAGAAATAATCGATTGTGAAAATATTTTGGTAATTCATCAGACAAAGTGGACTCGAAGGCCTTAATATTTCTTTACAGAATTTTCCTCTTTGGATTTGTCACATTTCATTAAAAAGAGTGAGTATGGGTGTGGAAGAAATCCACTTTTTGTATAAGGTCAACTGAGGCACTGCATTTCCAACAATATTTTGCAATGCACTGAATTGCCTTTGTGCCGGTTCCTTTGCGCACCAATGTAGAAACTTTGCTCAGATGTTAAAACAGACTGTAGGTGAAGGATTGGTGTTACCAAATGAACATTTGTTTAGACAGGGTTGTATAACACAAGAACATCCAGGAATAAAGTAGCATCATCATCTCATGCACATTCCTCTGCCCATCAGGATGTCCAAGCCAGTCTGCCCAGAGAAAACATTCTTTGTTTTAGCTGTAATTTGTTCCACATCTGCGCTTCAGTCTCTATCTTGTCTTCCCCTCTGGGCTGTCTCCATTTTGAGCCCAAGCTGTAGTCCACTCAATGAGTAGTGACAGGTTAAAGGTGTGACACATCATACAAAGTTTGTAACATGCACACCAAGGGAGACAGCAGTCATTTGGTGAAGTGAATTCCCCCGCTGTCGCTCAGAGCATCTTTCCCTTTGGCTTCGCTTGAAGCTCAGAGAGGAAAGAGAAACTCTGTGTTTATGTGTGTGTTTGGGAAAGACACAACAATAACCTGATTTTGAGTAACATTTTTATTAGATTTAAATCGCATATCACATTATTCTTGGGGAGGCAAAAAATCAAACTATCATTTCGATTACAACATGGCTGAAAATAATCCTGAAATCCATGGCTGGATTCGACTAAGTCTTTTCACAGTAATAGTAGATACAGTAGTAGTAGTAGTAGTAGCTACAGTAGGGGCAAAACCCAAGAATATCAGGAAATTGTTAAAGAGTTAGTTTCAATTTCAAATTACTTTCTTAAAGTCTGCCTCATCTACTTCTCTTTCTCAGTAAGACAGCTTCCTAACATAGCTATAATTTACATAGCTGATGCATGCAAGCATAAAAATGGAAAATATAGTAGTTTAAACAATATTTGATGCATTTTTTTCTTGCCAGGCTAGCTAGACAAAGATTCACAGCTTGTGTAAACTGTAGATAAAATTGGTCAGGAGAAATGTCGTTAGCAAGTGCTAACTTTTATTACATAAACCAAGAGTTAGATTATGAGATTGATACCATTCTCATCAGCTAGCTAATAGCTGAATTTAGCATGAAGCCTGGAAGCAGGGGTAAACAGCTAGCCTAGCTCTGTCTACAGGTAAAAAATATATAAATTTGATTACTTTAATAAATTTTTTTATGTTAGGCTAGACAAAGATTCACAATTTGTGCAAACTGTAGGCCAAAACGGTCAACAATTAGCAGGAATGTTGTTAGCAAGCGCTAACTTCTATTACGCTGACCAAGAGTCGGATTAAAAGATCTGTCTACAGCTAAAGAAACAAACAAAAACAAAAACACCCACCTTCCACTAATGAAGAAATTATTAAAATTATTAAATTATTGTTATCTTTTAACCTGTACAAAAACCCTACAAAAACAACATACTCTGGTTTTACTATGGGTTATCTCATGGACTGTCCATGTTATCAATCTTCTTATGTAACTCAGCATGAATACGAAGAAGTCTATTTCCAGAAATGTTGAACTTTCTTTTAACATTAGATACAAAGGACACATTTGAAAAACACAGTTTTCAAGAATCCTGCAGCAAAAATAATCAGACGGTCTAAACTTCATTCATATAACTTACTAAAACAGTACCAAAACTTATCAATACAGCTTTGTGAATCCATGCCCTGGAGAATAATGGTAGCCGCATGAGTTTCCATGTTATGTCATATTGATGAATGTTTGTACTAACACACCTGCAGGGTTAGTATTTCCTTTTTGCTGAATCAATCCTTGTGAAACAAACATTAATTCATCTGTCCAATGTTTTATTTTTTCATTATATTGAAATGGATACAGATGTATTATTTCATTTATTCATCAGCAAGCAACAGTATGAAATCTTCAGTTAACATTTGGTTTATCCAACTTGACGTTTTGATTATTAAGCAAAACTCTACCTACATCAACTACAGATGTGTACAAACTAAGTATGTCAGGTTGCTGCTACAGGGGCCAGCGCTGTATTTTTGTGCTAATCTGATACCGAGCTGAACTTCCTGCTTGTCACATCCTGGCTGCCTGACAGCTCATATGGTGACAGGCTGTGGTCAGAGGCCTCAGTCTTACTTTCCATCAGAGACTGCACTGGGGACTTTCTGTTCTTTCTTTGCCTCTGTTTTCTTCCTCTATTTATACATGAGCCCTGATTACCCTTTTCTCTCTTTTACTGTTTCTTGAACATACAACATTCTTTCAATTTGTAGCTTATCTATTTCTACTCTAATCTGAAACAGGCAAGGAATGTAGAAATAGCGCAGAGCAGAGACCTAGAGCTGAACTGCTGCACCATTTAAGGGAAATATTTATGTCTTGCTTGGCTTTACAATAACTCAACATGTTGGCAAGAAATATTCTAATAAAAATACAAAAAAATAAACTAATTATAGGACGCAAGGCAGTGGTTCAAACCATCTTTGGACCTTGTACTGGCCTTCACCACATTCTTTGTTGCAAAAAAAGAGGCTCAAGGAAAAAATAGGGCCTATATTTCTTTTCCTTTTACCTAGATCATTGCTTTTATTCTCACAGGATCAGATGCAGGCAATGAGTGCAGATTCAAGGATGCCAGAGCCCAGTCTGGAAAACCTTGGCGTTCCTGAAGGCCGCAGGAGAAACCACCAAAACTTTGGGGCTCTTGAGAAGTTTGCTCAAAATATGGCAGAGAACATAATCCAGTCTTTTATAAACCAAATGGAAATGGTGAAACCAGAGGTGTCCGGTTCTAATCGAGACCAGGAGACGTTAGCTGAAGAGTTAGCGTCAGCAGTGATTGAGATCGCTCTGAGGGAAGTCTGCGGTGGTTGCGATGTGGAGGGTTTCCAGAGTTCAAGATCAGCTGGGGTAAAGATGGATGATGAACAGGCTGAGAACGTGGCTTTCTTGGATGAATCTGGAAGAGAAAGAGACTTTTTGACCATGGACACAGAGATGGATCCAGTTAGAGAACTGCACACCTCTAAAGACATCCAGCCCTACCACCCGCCTCTGTCCCACTCAGGACTCCCCGTCGTGGGATCTCTCGACTACCCCGACGCCCCTCCGACCACCCCCCTCCTCCCCGAGCTCGAGAGGAGCAGACACAGTTTCGCCCGGAAGCTGAAAGGAGGCTTGGCGAAGGTTTTCCTGCCCTCGCCTCCTCCGCCAACGCCAAAGGACAAAGAGGACGATGTTGGCTCTGTGAACAGCCACCGGGTGGAGTTAATGGAACACTTGATGCACTCACTGACCACAGATGATCTGGCAAGAGATTCCTTTGAAGTCGGAGCTCAGCATGGAGCCAAGATGGAGGCTTTTGCAGAGGCTCTTTCATGTAACATCATAGACTGGGTCTTGAGCAGCAAAAACAGAGAGCAGATAGCAAGCGATAGCGATCTTCATCTACTAGCCCACCAACTGGCTGAAACCATCATCACCTCCTCCCTCGATGAAGCCAAAATGACTGTCTAGAGTTTAAATGTGATAAACAGGATCATATTTGTGATGATTGGCGTGTACACTCACACACAAGAGAACAACAATATTGATATTCACCCACGTTACCTTCAGGCTCACGACCACTGCCTGACCTTTTCATTGCAGTGTGGTTTACTGTAATAATAATAATAATCTGAAGTTAATTTATTTCTCAATAAAAGATCATCCAGATTAAGAGGTTAATCCTATTTTTGTTGGAAAAGTAATGCACACCAAGGGTTGGGATGAAGTGCTGATCACTGGATACAGAGTTAAGAAAGTGTCACACACTCTGGCTCCGTACGTGTTTTTCTTTTATCGAGACAGATGAGGTTTTGGCCCTCCTCAAGATCTTGAAGGAGGAAAACACAAACGGAGCCAGATTGTGCGACACTTTCTTATCTTCTGCTCTTTAATCCTAAAATATCATCCATTTACGGTTTTAATTCCCAGATGGATAAAAAAGTGCTCATGGATGTGAATGCAAATTTTGACTGGGCTCCAACAGTAAGTACCATACATGTCCTTTAGATGGCAGCACAAGAGCAATGTTCCTGAGTCTTTTCAGCAGGAGGTCAGCAAGGTTAACCTAAATTAAATTACCTGACAACAGCTGGAGTTAATTCAGCTTTATCATCTATGAAAAAAAGTTTGTTTTTCTATAAATATGCATATCATATTGTGGAAGTTTTAATTGTCTCTGTGCATTGTTAATAACTTGTTTTTTTATTTGCTTCATTGGTAAGGTTTTAATCCCAGTGCAGCTACGTTCAATACCTAGAATAAAGACTTTATTTTTGGACAGTAATTCATTATGGACTGAAAACGAAGTATCACCGTCAAGATGTAACTTTTTTCTAAATCCAACTATAACAAAGGACGAAATTACATTGTAGATGTCTCATGAATTTGTACCCTACCACAAGTAAATGGTGCGATACTCAGCTTCACAATCGAGTGCAGTGTCGGGAAAGTTAGAGGCCGAGTGATCCATTCATCCCCTGAGCTCAACTCAATATTGGCATTTGGGATGAGTTTGTGTTCTGGCTCGAAGGAAATTCATTTCCATACTCACTTACTTGCTGAGGTCAGATCTGGAGGAAGAGGGAGCCATGGTGCTTAACCAAACAGTGACGTGAGCCTGCAAAGAAATAAAAATAAAAAAAATCATGTTTTTTTTTTCTTTTTCATCGCCAACTTGTCAGAGAATGCCGTAATCGCTGAAAGAAAAACTTTGCTGAAGCTTTAAAGAGACGCTTCGAAAGACAGAGTTTTATTGTTCTCCTTAGCCGTCACTTTATTGGTCACTTATTCTGAAAAGCCTGTTCAAGTACCCGCACGTCTTAGGTTGAAGAAAGTGCGTTAGCGATCAGGGTGGCTTACTTTCTTATGTTTGCATCTGTGCAGGGAAACACAAACACACCGATCTGCAAATCATACAAAGGACTTTTCTCTCTCTCTCTCTCTCTGACACAGATGGAGTGAGTGGGAGAGAGAAGACAAAGTCAGTGAGTGCACAAATAGGAGTGTGTGTGTAATCACTGACGACCTAATCTGAGTGGGACAAATGGGTCAACGAGGAGTTTGAGCACAAACTCGTATCTTTCCGTTTATAATCAGAATCAGGAGTCAACATTTAGATTACATATTTAACTTTGAGTCGTCCTGATGGCCGAGTGGTTCGGGCCGCAGGTCCCCAGTTCACACTCGTTGTGTGACCTTTTACTATTTGTCTCTCCCCCCACTCTCTCTCTCTCTCTCCCCCATATTTCCTGTCTCCACTTTACCTATCAAATAAAGACATATAAACCAGCCAAACAATAATTTCAACTTGGCTGTAGGACAATGTTGATCTGTAGGCCCACCACTTGGGGCAAGACTGAACTATCTCAAAACCCCTGGTATGGATTGCAGTGGAGTTTTATATAAACATTCATGGTACGCAGAAGATGAATCCTACTGGCTTTGCTGCTCCCCTGACTTTTCCTCTAGCACCACCATGAAGTTCACATTTCTGGTTTGAAGGAAAATGTCTCAACAACTCTTGGACTGATTACAGTAAAATTTGGTACAGACAGTCAAGTCTCTCTCAGGATGAACTGTAATAAGTTTGGTGATCCTCTGACTTTTCTTCATCAGACCTGGGTTAAAACAACACGGGGGGGTGGGGGGTGGGTGTATTTCTTTTATTGGTGGGTACGTGCAGCTTCAGGTAATGTTGGTACAATGAAATACGATCAAGGAGGTCCAGTCTGAATAACAGGTTCGTAAATTTGAAGACTCTCAGACATGAAAACACCACAAAGCAGTTTATAATACTCAGACATGGATGCCATACACAGGGAATGTGCCCAGTATATATTTGATTAGTGAATGCACCACCTTGCTGAATGATGTTGCTCAATCCCTGGCTTCTGTCTGACCTGATTGTCAGTTTTGGAAACACACCTCAATCCACTGTCGGAGAGGTGTCGGGTCGCTGGTTTCCGACGCTATCCGACCATCTATACATCACATTTAAACGTCTTTTACAGCTACGGCTACCTACAGAAGGAAATGTACACATTTCACTCTAAATTTTTAGAACTACTCTTCTGGGTGTTAAAGAATTTTGGAGCTAAACATCGCAAAAGTTTGCCGTTAATTAGAGCTACATACACACACAAACAGTGCGCAATGCACACATGTTGCCTTGGCTGCAGTGTGTGTGATAGTCCCTCGGTTCTGATACATAATATGTCATGGAATGCTTAGTCTGAACTTTTAACTCCCACCGCTGATCACCATTATGTTTTCTCACCACAGGAGCCTAACTGAGTGATACACACACACACACACACACACTGAGACACGTGCACATAGATAAGCTGCAGGGCTGGGTGGACAGCTGTAGTGTCAGAGGGGACATACACACACACACACACATAGACACACACACACACACACACACACACACACACACACACACACAAACACACACATCTGGAGAAATGCTTGTTGTGTTGTCAGGTGGTGGTTGACTGCCAGAAAGAGAGATGGACTGAGGGAGATGGAAAAGGGAGCACTGAGGGTGTATAGCAGAAGTTGATATATATATATATAAATACAGTATAGTATAATAGGAAATATATGGCAGAGGTACTTAATCTCTGTCTGCCCCAGTGGAGGGTAAATCCACAGAAATTCTATTTATTCACCATTTAAAAGTGAAACAGTTCTCATCCTACAGATATGTGTCCTGGAAATACATGCATCAGGCTTTCACCCCTCTTCTGTATATAAATACAAATTTGGAGCACATCTGCTTGAAGGGTTTTCCAGTTTTCATTTCATTACCTGATATTTGAAGCTCCTTGTTCATTGGTTGATAAAGGTTTAGCACTGAAACACAGAAAGTTCAGGCCGCCTAACAGAATTCACAGCAATTTTAACATATATAACTTTACTTGAGTCTCTGAAACACATACTGTCCATATACAAGAGAGTATAGTTATTAATCTGATATTTGAAGCAATATTGATTTTTGTTTTTGACACTTAGTGGCAGCAGAACAAGCTGTAAACACATGTGTTAGCAAACTGTGGTCTCTGGAGACTGTCGGTGAGTAAAGGAGTGAAGTTTGATGCTGAACACACAACGTTCCTTCTAGACTGGTAAGTAAACAGCTGTTAATGCTAACGTTAGCTACGTAGCAATAGCAAAACGTACAAATGGATCATTTAAAAGGCTAAAAACTTAAACTAAAGTTCCATTTTGAAAGCAGGAAATTCATTTTCACAATATTTCATTCATTTTTTTTTATCTATCTATTTATTTTGCAGCACTGGAGTTTCCTCTCTTCACTCTTGATGACACTGCTGCTTGTGGCTGTGTTTCACCAACTGACTGTATTTCAGGATCTCACAGCTCAGACATGCATTTTTTATTTGATTTTTTTACATGGACACAAATTCTCATCATTCCTAGGTTGAAACATTGGACATAAACTTTAGCATTTGTTTCCATTTTCTTTTCCAGATGAGTTTGATTTATCAAGCAGTTCAGACAATGTCAGGTCAGATTAAAATGATTTTTAAAACACTAGACTTCTGAAAGTTTAGACATGTTTGTAGAGTTTTATGTTGACCTGATCTCAGGCAGCAGTAGCTTTAAGATTAAAGGAGTTGGCCTGATACTACAGGACTGCTGGTTCCACTGCTTCAACTGTCTGGGAAAGAGGTGTCCTGCCAAACCAGCAAATGCTCCATGCAGCCTCCAGTTTTGAATGTGAAGGGAGCCGCCACCAGAAAAGAAAGCACGTGTGCTCAACTGAATTTTTCTTACATAATAAAACAGCAGAAGAGACTGAAAAACAAAACTGTGGAAATACAATTTGTCTCAGGTATGATACATAGAGAACAGTATTTCAAGCCTGCTGAGTTCACCAGTCAGACTATTTTATGAGACGACCATTGGCTACTGGATGTGAGTTCATAAATCTGAGTGAGACGGGATCAGCACACCCGCAGAGTGGAGAAAGCCGGCTGAGCCGAACCTCTGTGTTACACTGTTTAAGCGGTGGGTCACAAGAGGCTCTGTTTTATTTTCTTACCTTGGTTACTGATCATAAAGAACAATGATTAACTGTCGTTACACCTCCACAGAATGTGTTGGCCTGGATGACTGTCGCAAAAGTCTTACTCAACAAAAAGTTATTTACTTCACTACAAAGTCTGGACTTAGAACAATAGTGGCTTTCAGTAGCCACAGTTTGTACCTCTCATACAATAACATTACATTCAAAATTACAGAGCTGAGAGTCAGGTTTTCTGAAAAATAAACATCTTATGATTGTTGAAGAACCCAGAAGATCATTTACAAACACTTAATGCTGTTTTACAGAATCCTCTAAGACTCTTCTAACCATCTGGAGGGAAAAATATTCTGTCTGCTGCAGCGCTTTATTCTGAAATGACATATTTTCTTGTCTAATTTGTACAACGTGAACTAAAATTTAAAACTGTATAATCATGTATATTGGTATATATTGATGTTTCTTTCCAATATTTGATCATTTCTTACAAAATAACTTGTCAATACTTTGCTTGTGTTTTACAACAAGGCTAACAGCCCAGCTAAGATCTGTCATGTGCACTATAGCAGTGCACTGAGCTAAACACACACATCAGCTTGGTAACACGCTAATAATGACAATTAGCTTGTTCACCATCTTATTTTAGCATGTTAGCGTGACAAAATGTGTCAGCTGAAGGTAAAGGGAACGTCATAAACCAAAGTAGTGGACGACTTCAAATTTTGACCCATTGATGACGCTGTAGGTGAAAGGTCAGGGGATCATCAACAGGAACATGAACTGGTGTATTGAAGTTCATGGCAATTCATCTGATTGTTGTTGAGCAATTTCACTAAAACGTCGACCTCATGGGAGCACGAGAGCAAAAGTGAATGGGGAAATTTTTTTTTATTTGTCTTTTATCACAGTCCATCAAATCCAACAAATTCATCTTGTTGAGCTGCTTCATATATTTTTTCCAGCGCAGCTAAAAAGAGAAAGGGCTTATTTCTGGCAGTCGCAATGTGAGAACAGATGGATTATTTTTTCATCCAAATGTTTAAGAGTCTTCGAGGATTCTGGGAAAACCTTCAGATCAGTGGCGAGCATTGTTAAACAACCCTGCAAAGATCACCAGGTGTTTCTGTTTTGGCAAATCAGATGCTTCTCTCTGTTACTGTGGATGTAATGGTAAAACATGAGCGCTACAAACTGGTGCCGACTGGTTCTTGACAAAATACATGAGGTCTTCTCTGCATCATAATCCACCTCTCTGCGGTTCGTCCATTTGCCCAGTATGATTCAAACAGACCTATTTTCATCAGGTGAGGTTTGAGAAGTTCGTACGGACATTTCTTTGGACCTTTTCTGCTGTGAAAACTTGTCGTCCATCGAAACCACTGTGAATCCAAACTGAGCCCAGGCTTTGTTTCACTTTAAAACAACAGGCTTTGGCATCTCTATTCTGGAGGCCTTCCCAGAGGATGTTGCCTGTGGTGAACTTCTGGTAAGAAAGATATTGGAGTTGGACTGAAAAAAAACAAAAGAGATTGGATGAAAACTTTTTCAAAGCAAATTTAATAGCCACACTATTACCAAACAGAAATATTTCATCTCTTCCACATCTCTCTGAGATACTTGCACATGCAGGCTTTTGACTACAGGCATCAGAGCAGGTGTGGAGTGATGTAGAGATTTGGCCGTTTCATAGGTCAAATTCAAGACGATGCAGTGCTGAAATATCATGGAGACTTAAACGCTGCGGCCTCAAGGAGTCAACTTCAAACCCACTTTCTGTCAGAACCGTTTTTGTTGACATGGAAAGTAATGCTGTGGATTTAACCATTCTTGTGATATCTCATTCGGACTTGGGCGACTTGGACTGAGAGTATACAGGCATGTCAAGTCCCAGTCAGTGGAATGGATGGCTTTCACATCTGGTGCAAAAACTCCAGGGACTGTGCCAGAATCTGCTTGGATCCCACTCGCATTCAACAACAACTTTGACAAATCAAAAGGCCGTGAGTGCAGACAAAAAAGCCCTCAGATCGGGATCCTGGTTTCCTGATTTGGTTCCAACCCCAGTCTGGGCCTCATCCTGAGAATGACTTGCTTCTTCAAACCAGGAGGAGAAAAGTACGGTGGTCCTCTGATGGTGCAGAGCTGTTGGACTGGCGGCGACCCAAGCTCATCTGCCGCCCATCCTCGATAAACAGCTCTGACGCTGGGCATACACACACTGCATCACACGCTGCTTTCCAGCTGTTTGCGGTGATGGAGAGGAAACAAAGGAAGGGTCGTTGTTTAGAGCTGAGCTGTAAACACAGTTTCTGCCTGTCTCCTTCCCATAAAGCCTTTGTTCTTATTCACAGAAAAATGTGAGCTGCATCACGAGAATCTGTGTCCAAAAACAAACTCGGAAGATGAAGCTGACAATCTCTGCTTTTCTTCTTTGTCAAGCAGCAATCAAACCTAGACGCTGCGTTCGTCACCTGGGGATTGAACGTCTCCTCGGTCTGTGGCCTGAGTGCAGCTCTGTGATGTGTTTGGAAACTGAAGTTTAAATATTTAATCATGACTGCACTTGTTTCACAGTGATAAACTGGAGGGCGCTGAGCAAATATTTGCTCTCAAACAGTGTAAAGCTCTACGACAGACCACAGTCATACACACACACACACACACACACACACACACACACACACACACACACACTGACAACAGCAGCTCAGAACACAAAGATTTAGAGGGAGGGCAAAGAAAAAGAAATTGCTTGCATCAATGTTTTTTACTATCAAAAATAAACCATCAATTTTTACAAAAAGCTTCAAACTACAGCTGCAACAAATGATTATTTTCATTATTGATTAATCTGCTTTTGATTAACATATTGATCGTTTGGTATAAATGTTCAACCAACAGTCCCAAACTAGTAAATGTTCACATTACAGAAGCTGTAACCTGTGATTAAAAACTTTTTTTGAAAAGAAAAACCCCTAAATCAATTATTAACTGATTCATATTTCATCTCTGCTTCAGCTGCTCTTAAAATCTGAGCAGAGTCAGAGAGACAGCGCCCTCTGTCAGCTCAACCTGAGCCTCAATGTGGCCTCGGCACACTGAACACATCCTCACATCTGTGGCTGAGAACTGATAAAAACCTTTAACACAGACTATTTAAAGGCATAAAATCTTGAGTGGACACAGTGTGACTGTAGAAGGAGGTCTGAACTCTCACTGTCTGCTCCACAGTGACATGAGTTGCATTTTCTTAAATGAGGTAAAATACAATACATTGTAAATATGTGAAGGCCCCAGATCTGAAAAGAAAAATAAACATTTTGAGATATGAGCTGCAGAAAAGTTGCATTTTTTAGTTGCCCACTAAGGGAAAATTGGCAAATAATGAAAGATAAACAACTGTTTGAATGCTTTTGTAGCCTAGACAGCAAAGAGAGAGAGAGAGAGAGATAGAGAGAGAGAGAGCATTCCTCCACCGCTCCAGGGTGATGAGGAGGGTAGCCCAGCCCCTCTGCTGCTCCCTCTCTCTCTCTCTCTCTGTTGCAGCTCATCGGTCCAGCGCTGCCTCCTGCAACAGCTCCCACTTTACGCAGCAGCTGAGTAGCTGAACAGACATGGACACGTCCAAGCTTTAACTTTGAGCTCGTCTCTCTCTCTCTCTCTCTCTCCCTCCTTCTCTCCTCCTCTCTCCAGCTTGCTCTCCTCTCTCTCTCTCTCTCTCTCTCCCCTCTCCTCTCCTCCTCTCCCGCCGAGCTCCGGGGGAAAAGCTCCGCTGGCAGCCGCGGACGCATGGAGATCTAACTTTGCTCCAGTTTTCGGTCAGTCGGTCAAGTTGCGTGGAGGCTGTTGTGTGGCTGCCGTTGTTTTGCTGTTGGTTTGTTCACGAGTCTCCTCATGCGTCGGGAATGCCATGGCCACTCCGAACGCACAGCAGCAGCACCAGGATTATTTCAGATCGGTGAGCAGCGAGTCCACCACCTACATGATGGTCCCGGCCGGCGGGCCGAGCGGGACGAGGCGCAAGGAAGCGCCGTCCAAGATGTGGGTGGCGATGGTGGTGATAGTGGTGGTGGTGCTGCAAATTGCCTCCACCACGGGGCTCTTTGTCTACCTGAACATGTCCATATCAGAGGTAAGAGCCGCTTTCCACTCGCTTTACGAGTTTCTGTGCTGCACTGTGGGTTTCATGCGGCTCTTTGTGGGAAGTTTGTCGCCTTTTCACAGCATAAAAACCTGGAGAAATTCTCTATTGGGCATTGAACTGACAAGTAAAATCAGCGTGAGGTTAAACTTACAGCTGAATGACACACATACACTCTCACTATGACTGAGAAACACGAAGAAATAGCCACATTTGTGCACAATAGGAGGTTATACGCTGGAGTAGTTGATATAAAAAGTAAGACTGAGAGCAAATTTCCATAGAAATGATCATTTTGCACTGCATTTTGCGGAGTCCCATTTTTGTTTTAAGGAGTAAGTCAGCTCTGGAGAAGCTCGCCCCCGCTTTCTAACTCGTTCAAAGAATGTGATCCGGAATCTCCAAGCGAGTGGAGGCAGAGGGGCAATAAGCACGTCTGTCTGTCCGGCAGCGTTTATTGAACTAAACGGGTTAAACTGCGTGCGTGAGGGAAACATGTTGGAGCCATTTGGTGACAGGCAAAGAGCAGTCAGAAGCTGTCGAGCAGGATCGCCTTGAAGTAGGTTACAGATGTGGTGTGCAGAGATGAAATATGCAGTGATGGAGGTGGGATATCCCCAAGCCATTATCTCTTTAGATAAACATGATACTGCTCTCACGCGCCTGTAGCTGTCAGCTGTGAACGTACAGTGATGCTAAAAGGTGTTTTAATGAACACATTTTGAAGTCAGAGCATTTGAGGTTTTTGCCTCTGCCACTGCTGCAGCTCCTCAAAGTCAAAACTGACAGGGTTTCTTTGTCCTGAAGTTAAATCTGCTACTTGGAGAAACACAAGTGCTGTCCCTGTGAGAGATGTTGTTGAAAGTACAGTGATTACAAATGAACTCATAAGCGCTCAGTGCAGGGAGGCAGAGATGCGTTTATCAGTCTTTTTAAAACTGATAAAGGTGCAATAATAAAGATAAAGAGCCATGACTCCATCTGTGGCTTCCTCCTTTCTCTGTTTCCGAGGAAGAGCTCACACAGAGTTTGGCATGAGTTGAGGTGAGTTCTACAGTGAGCTGATGCTCTACATTGGGGAAGGGGTTACATATTGGTCATTTGGTAAATCTGCAGGGATGAAGTTTGAAGCTGATGTATGCTCCCACTGATGTGTGAACCCCAGCAAGAGGCCCATTTAAACTGTAACTATACCCCGTCAGAGAGAGCACGCCTGCCGGCTTCAGCAGGCGTGCTGCTGAGCCTCTGCCACACGAGAGCCAACGTCTGTCAGGAGATGTGAAACCTGTCACGGCTTCTGGTGGACGTTTGTATAATTTACACAGGTGTGCGTTGTTGAAGACCTCCACCGGGAACACGTGTCGCCTGCAGCTTGCAGCAGGACGGAGGAGAACTTCATCCTGAAATCCAAAAGCTTGAGTTTTCAGAATCTCTCTACCACGTTTTCATTGAGCGGGAAGAGGCTGAAAATGGAGGCTTATTTTTCTTAACAAGTCCTCTTGGGAATGAGGAAGAACGAGAAATGACATCTGACGTTTTCTTGTCCACTGTGATGGATAAGCATTTGCAAACCGAAAAGATCAAATCTGTAGCTTTTTAGCAAGTTCGCATCGACGACATTAAATGAGCAACAAGTGCAAACATGAGTCCAGAAGACTTTTTTGCTGCTTGGTGTATTTTTAAATCCCCATCATGTCTGACAATTCAGCCTTTGTAACCTCCTTTGGGAAAACTCCCATTGCAGATGTAATGGTCATCATGTAGCTGATCAAAGCTTCTTTTTTTTTTTTTTGAAGGAAGACAGATGCTGAGGTTTTGGTTTAAAGTCCTTGACAACGTTTCATGGAGCAGGGGAAATCCAGGCCAGAAATAGTGTATAATCTTATGATACGCTGCTATAAATATCTCAGGATAGCTGAGATACAGGTTCTTGTCTTGATTAAAATTACTTTGGTCTGGTTAAACTCACAGAGAACAGGCACATTCATGGCACAAGTGACTATGTGAAGACAGAGGGTCAAAGTTTATATTAGATGATAAAGGTCCCATATTTTAAATTTTTCCTTTTTTATTTAAAGTGTTGATCTATTTGTGGTTATAAGAACCAAAACCATCTCACTGTAATTTTACATCCCCTCGTTTAGGCTTCTCTCTGGAGCTCTAGTAACAACAAGTCAGTGAGCCAATCAGACGAGAGGAGGCTCTCTCTTCTGATTGGCTGACTGGTTTTTGAGTGATCCAATAAAAATATAGGAGATTTCAGGTAAAACACTCAGAGAAACCAAATCCTGCAAGATTTGGAAGGATGGGTCAAGGTGGGAGGGGCCTGGGGCATGGCTGAGAGCTGTGACTGTTTTGTTGTGACATCACAAAGTTCCAGGAAGTCCCGACGGCTGGTTTTAAGGCTCAGTTTCTGAATACAGGCTGTGTGCATTTCTCTCTGTGGACTGAGCGCTCTGATACTTTCACAGTATTAATATAGAACCTAAACCTGCTTTATGATCAAACAACACATGGAAATCTACCTTTATACAATATGGGACCTTTAACATATCAGCCCTCTGGCGCAGTTGTTGGAAAACGCCCGTTTGAGTGACATTTCAAGGCAAATTTAACAGCAACGTTAGAAATTTAGTGAAGGATAAATGGTTTCTGGTTACAGTGTATGTTAGGCCCAGTTTTCTGTTTCATATTTGACCCCTTGTTGCCTCTCATGACAGGAAAAAAATATAAAGGCAACTATATTAGACTTTGGTCATGTCTGTTTCCAATTGACTTATTGGCACCGATGTTGTATAGGCAAAAGGCGTCTGTAGAAATGTGTTAAAACTGACTTTATTACTTTATTGATGAGATCATAAAATGAATCATGACTTATTCATGAATTAAACAGCTATTTTACAACTTGAATAATGCGTTGATTTGAGTTTTTCTCCTCTTATACATCAGAGGTGGCAGGAAGTCACATAAGGAATAGTTTAGTGTTGATACTGGACGCAGACGAAATGGAAAACATGGAGCTTTGTGTCTGCATGTGGGGGATCCCCTGGTTCTCATGCGAAGGCCAGCTATTTTTAATCTGGAAACAGGCCCTTCTTTGAATTGCATTGGAGTTAACACCCCCATGCCAGCCTGGGTAAGACAAAGGAATACTGGGAACAATGAACATCATATAATGAGGAACGCTCCAGTGTTGCCTCAGCGCTGCTGCATTCACACACAAACAAACACACACATGTAAATACAGAAGATCCTGGTCCCGTGGGTGCATGACCTCTGTGGGGTTTTTTTTTTACTCCATTGCTGCTGCTGGATGAGACACACTGTGCAAAGCTACTAGACACAAATATACAGTACTTAGGGTATATCAAGTTTGAGCTACACAAACATTCAGTCACCTGTGAATAAGCTACCGACTTCAGACTTTTGGTTAGACAAAACTGTTGCTCTTTAGGTAGGAAGCTGTGATGGGTAATCTTCCTCTTTTTGCTAACATTTTATCCAAAAAAAAAGATTAATAAAAAAAAGAAATACTCATTGATTACAAATAGAAATTAGATGCAGCCCTATGTAACACTCTTTGAGCGCTTGGGGCATCGCTGAGGGTGGTGACTGTTTTGTTGTGACATCACAAAGTTACAGGAAGTCCTGACGGCTCGTTTTAAGACACAGTGGACTGAGCGCTTTGATACTTTCACAGTATTAATACCGAACCTAGATCTGCTTTATAATCAAACTACACATGGAAATCTACCTTTATACTATATAGGACCTTTAAATTTATAACGTATGAGCATGTTGTTTGATAGAAGTCAAAGGTGGATTTTATAAGCTTAACACTATATCAGATGCAGATTGTTCATACATTAAGTATCTGGACATCCTTTAGCTGTTTTCTTTTTTATCGCTGTGGATGAAAAACTGGACTCATGATTCAACTACACGGGCCATGTTTCAGCTGCAGTTATGAGGAAAGTCTTTATGTTGCGTCATGTATCTGGATTAAAACCTGATTCATGTCCTCATAGTTTATGACTTCCCTGATCTGCGTCAGATGAGGCTCCAGATCTGTAACAATTCCACTATTTCATTTTGTATAAAACTGAGTCTTTGATGTTTGTTGCACTCGTTGACTCCACCGACAAACAAACAACACACTCATTTCTGTGTGTGCGTATGTGTGTGTGTGTGTATGGGTTTGTAGGCGTAAGTTGGCAGTTACCCTGATAGTGTGTCCTTTCCTTACACTTCACTGGTCCACTTGATTATTGTTTGGGGTCACTGACAGGCTCTGACTCACCCTTACATGCAACAATACTCCTGCTCTGTTTGCATTTGTGTGTGAGTGTGTGTCTGTGTGTGTGTGTGGTCTGATTCAAACAGAATGTGGCTGTTTGTTAGGTGTGTGTGTCTGTGTGTGTGTGTGTGGTCCACTTTGCCAGAGAAATCACCAATTTTTGTCTTTCCCGTCTGTTTTTGTGATTTAACTGTGTCTTTGTGTGATTTTTTTTTTTTTTTTAATCTGTGTGATGACCAGATGACCTCCGAACACAGAAAGAGGAAAATCCCTCCAAACATTCAACATTTTCCAGCCCACAAGGGACCTGCTGTAGTTTCAGTATCAGATCTCGATCTGTAGAATCAGTCTCGGTGTTGGATTAGGTGTTACTGCTGCAGTAAAGCTAGAAAACTTTAAAAGTAGATATGGTATTCAGATAAAATATCCTCCTCCTACCAGCCATAACAGAGGATCTCAGTGTCAGAGAACCATATAATTACATTTTGAGAGCTTACAGTCAACAGGGCTGAACTCACAACTCACATGGATCAGAGTTGGAACTGCTCTCCTCAGATTTATGTTATATCATTTTCAGCTTGTTTGGCCTTGGCAACAACTGTTGCCGTGGAGAATAGACGACAAATCGCTATAGATACAGGCACGTCTGCAACGATTAGTCAATTAACTGATGAGTCGATCAACAGAAAATGAA